TCCCTATTTGTTCAACCATTAAGCATCACAATAAGCCACTAATGTGTGTCTGTCTGTTGGCAACCGCACAATTCACCACCCCTTTTGTGATTTGGAGGGTCCCTATTTATAGAACGATGAGTGTAAGTGACTTAAAGGAAAAAAAATGACTTTGAGTCACTTAACACAAAGAAACGATAATAAAATCGTCACGAGTGCATGGTTCCTAATTACAGAGGGATTAATCCCACCTTTATAAACTCATCTTAGCGTAGAAATTTGACCGTTTCATAAAGCTGTCAGGGCAGCTATTTAACCTACCCCATTGTTCTGTGCTGGTAGTATAGAACAAAAGAGATTTAAACCGCTGTAGGGGTAAATATATTAACGTGTGTCACCTCTTCCAGTTATACAAAACAAATTTGGTTATACAAATTGACGTTACTACGAATGATGATTGTTGTTGTTACAATTATTTATATTGAGTTTTGGTGAATTAGTACCGTACGTGGTCTATTTATTTTACCAAAATCGCAAATATAATCAATCAAATCCGTGACGGGTGTCAATAAATGTTAACAGTTTAAAAGACTGGAATGGATTTTATTTTATTCGAAGTGTAAAATATTAAAAATATATATAAATATTTTTTTCAATCGTTTTCAAAACATATATTTATTAGGTCTATATAAGAAAATGTTTGAAAATAATTTATTCTGTGTCTACAGCTTCTATAAAACGAAAACGAAACTTTAATCCTATCTATTTCCACCCTCAACGTATTTTATTTGTATTGATGTGAAGTCAAGTTGGTCCTACCTAAAAAGATTTTCCATGTAGAACGATCTGAAACACTTTCCAACATTCTTTTAAAGTGGGAGATGAAAACCAGCGGACAATTCAATGGATTGGGATGACGGAGAGTGTGAAAAGAAAGAATCAAGCTAACAGAGAACTATAGCAGCGTAGACACAAATGAACGGAGGGGGAGTAAAAAGCACGGAGAGGAGAAGAAAAGAGGATTCATAGGCGAAAATGAGAGGCAATAAACGGTGAACTGAGTAAATTAAAGAAACTTAAGTATAAATAGGAATAGGAAAGAATTTAAATGTAGCGAAACAAAGAGGGACGAATTCTGAAGGAGCAAGGCGAAATACTAGATAGAGAACTGGGAACAGAAAAAGAACGGAGCGAAGAGGAAATTACGGGAAATTTTAATGAAGGCCGAATTCTGGTAGTAAATCAAATACTGAGGATGGTAACAATGCAAAATGTAAGAACACCAAGATTCAGAATAAATAACGGATTACGCTAGGATGGTGCACTATCATGCATAGTCGTCAACATGATGGGTGCAATTATCAACAAAAGCGTGAAAATACCGATTTTTGGTGATTATGTTGATATCATTGCAAGGTCAAGAAGAGTCATGATAGAAGCCTTCTGCTCACTAGAGAAATCACCGCACAAAATTGGGCTATACATATACAAGCAAACCTATCATCATCACATATGCAAAACTTAGTCATGGGGATTGCAATGCATCGAATCTGTACTGCAACTTGGTTAACTGGGCTCATTGGTCACTTCGAATATCAACCCCACAGATGAGATCAAAAAAGATTTTTAACTTTGACAAGAAAAACAAAATGTCAAATACATAAAACCTTAATACGATCACTCTGGAGTATGAATTCAAAACTTGGGTAACGACGATAGATTGCTAACAACATACCAAAGAAAGATCCTGCGACACATATTTGAAGACATGATGGAACATGGCCAATGGGGAAGATACTTTGAATAGTACACAGCGTTCGGATCCACGCATCGTGCTGCGTCGTTACCTGCGAGGGGTTCAAAATTTCCAATTTGAGTTAACAAATACAGCACATATTGGTCACATAACGATAAAGAGTAAATATCTTGAATCTACTTCCTTTTCTGCACAGTTAAAAACTAGACATAAAGCTCCGCTGTAGTGCTCTAAACTTTTATTCCCTTTAAATTATTTACAAAGTTAGTTCTGCTCTTAAGATGTATTGAAATCTACTATTATTATTGAGCTACACCTAAATCTACTGATGAACTAAAAATTAATTGTTACTCAGTTAAAAACATTTCGGTTACTCTACAATGCTAAAATCTCAATAAATATATTTAATCTATAATCTACGTCTAAATATTTTTCTAATAACTGATTTACGTTTCTTATCCAGTAATATCTTGTCCATACCATATACGTGCAGTTCTTTAGTTATGCATAAATGTTCACTTGGTGCACCTTTGGAAGCTACCAATTTACCTTGCATTCTTGATACCACATCGATCATACTATCGTAATAATTTTTATATTTCAGACATCTTAATGCTTCTACCCTACGCGAAACTAAATTGCTGTTTCCACAATTCGTGCAACGAGCGAGGTAAAATATTTCAGACCCTCTTTCCATTTTCAACACTTTTCGTACATTTTCTATCCATTGTCGGTCCAGTGTTGATAAATCACCAACAAAACTATTCATAATCAATTGTTTGCTAGATATCACATTTTTCCATTCCTGTTCCGTAAAAGTTATACATTGACCTTTTCCCATTAAGCTTATAACGGGATCAAAATGTGGATGAGCGGACATGCCAATCGATATCCATTTCGTTCGACTTTTATTTAAATATATAATACGTACTCCTCGAGTATAATGGTGCTTGATTACCTTTTTGGGGATTATTTTTTACTGCCTCATTTAATACTACATTACTTGTGAAAGATAACTTTCCAGTATTTTCTAAATTAAGTTGTTGATTGCTAGGACAAAACGTACTCAAAACGTACAAATTGATTCCAACTAATACCACGTCCCTTTTTTGTTAGCTGTTATTTCATTATAATTACCCTATATTTTGATATTTCGGGCAGATTTTTTATTTTCACCCTTTTCGAATGAATTTACAACAGGTCTCTTGGTTGAAAATTTTAGTTCAAACTTTTTGTCACTACACATCAATATTATTTACATTAGTATATTATCTACTTATATTACATTTAAATTACTAACTCGTTAGATTTAGAATCCTCTGTACTAAATGCACCAAACATCTACACGATATTTTTAATATGCACTAAATACACATAAACCTTGCTCTGAAGCGCAATACTCTGCGGTACAACTTCAAGCAACGTTTGTATTTATAGCAGTACATAAGGTTGCTGGTGATGGGATTGTAGTTTCACATCATTAGCGAATATATCTGCAATACAGGTTCTAACACGACATTACATCGGGTGACGTCAGACAGAATGCATGACAAATTTTGTAAGGACCTCCTCTCCTTGAAACCTCGTCCTTCTCAAAATAACATGAACACCTTCAGTTAATAAACCTCCTCCCCAAACCCCCCCAAAAAAATTGCTGATTCAAGAACCATCTCTCCTCCTCCAACGAGTCCCCCAAAAAATTTTGCCGATTCAAGAACCTCCAAAACATTTGCCCATTCAAGTAAAATTTCCTCTTAAAACGCCAGTTCTAGGAGGAGGTTCTTGAATAGGCAAATACCTACTGCTACTTTGTACTTCATTTGAATCGCAAAATTCCTTTCTCTAGGACAAAAATCATCAAGGAGTAGCTTTTTCATAATGAGATACAAGGCGCTTGCAATACGGACACAACACTTATCCCTCAACACGATTAATTAACCACATTTTTCGGTCTTTTAGAATAACGATAATATGAAGGATATAAATATGACGCTACAAATATTTGGAATATGGATGTATCAGAATCACCACAGTCTAAAAGACAAACCGTTTAGTACCTTATTAAGGATAATCTTATTAAGGATTTTTATTAAGCATAACAATTTAATGACATAAGTAATAGTCCTGGTAAATCAGTCCATCTGGTTTAAAGAAAAATATTTTGTACCACCAAGCATTTTCGTTAACATTATTATTATTTCTGGATAACGATGATAATTTTTAGATACTTCATGACATTTCATGAATCTTTATCATCATCTTCCATATCTCTATTAACACTTTGAAGTAATTAAACGATATTGGAAATTGGAACAGCTTTTCAAACAGTTTTTTTGTGGGTGCTAAATGTAGGAGGTTGGATAGATGGTCCCGAGTTGGTAGAATACGTCGATTCTTTCACCATTTTTCCACTAATTACTATCACTTAGTGAATACATGCAGAGAAGGAGAATGTACTGGGAGTATGAAAGAGATAGTCAAAATGCGTTGATGTCTGAAGCTGTTTCTTGACATAATTTTGAATATATTATGTCACATTTTCATCTTGCTGGCGATAATATTAAAATGAAACGAAGAGAAAAGTTCGTAAAAGTGCGTCTTTATTCCAGCATCTCAATAAAAAATTGTTAGAAAATAATATATGCCTTGATGAAGCCTTGGTACCATACTTTAGTCGCCATAGCTGTAAACAGTTTCTATCAAATAATAATTTAAGAGGCACAGACACCATTCGGCAAAACTGTATACCAGCTAGTCCTCGGAGGAATTTGAAAAAAATACTCCGTCTAAATGGACCACTGTAATATATTAATAAAATCAATACTCTTAGTTTATATGTCTTAGTAGTAAGATTATGATTTATTTCCTTATTGCCAAAATTTAATGACTGATTTAATTGAATAAAAATAAATTGAGAATAGTTGATAACATCTTTAATTTTATTGTCTTCCAGAAGAATACAGTTTGGTCTTGAATAATATATCTAGAATAAGCTTTTTTGGACTTTTAATTTATAAAAAAGCGTCAATTCTGGCTTGTAAAGTTTCTACGAAAAATTTCGTATAGACTTGGTAATGAGACAAAAACTTTTGGCTAAATCAGCAACATATTTGCATAAAAATAAATACTTAGGTAATTTTTCTAGATGTATTCTTCAAAATAAAAAACGTTTATTAGCAACATATTATGAGATTCGATTGGGTTCGACAAAATTTCCAAAACAAATACGTTGACAGAGTAACATAATATGACGTTTTATAAATTCTAAGTTTTGGACATATTTCGGAATGTAATTGCGATCAAAATTATTGTTTTTAATTTTCAGGAAATGGTATAAAAATTAAGTAACGAAAGACATAACACTTCAAAAAATGACCGCTCCCAATACCATTGAATCAGCAGATAAAAATGAAGAAGTTATTAAAACAGAATATGAAAAAAGGGTGTTACATTTACACGAAAATCTTAAGATGTTACACGGAGCGCTTACGTCAAAAATAGAATATGAGAAAAAGATGAGGAAAAGTAAAAAGAGTTATAAAAGGAACGAAAATGTTCACTCTATATATTTACCAGATTTCTCGAATGTTGGTAAATCGGGAAAAGATGTGAGATAAAAGCCTTAAAGAACGATTTATTATGATTACAGGAGATATTAGATGTTATTACAAAATATAAGGAAACATTTATTAAGGCCCCAAAACGAATCGATCCATATACGAAAGACTTATTGAGTTGTTTAGAGTTAATTAATACGCTAAAAAATAAAAATAAAAGGGTGAATATGTTTTCACCGAAAATTAATGAACAGGATTTTCATCGTTTATGTAATTTTCAACAAGAAATATTAGTTATGTCTCAAAAGTGTTTCGAAGTTGAAACTCTTCGATTATCTGTTAATGAAGTGTTAACTGAACAATTGTTTTATTAAATATGTACCTAATACAAAAAATAAAAAATAAATTAATTACTTTTTACATTTGAAACCTTCATTGATTGAAACTTACAAAGTGAAAATGATATTTCAAGTTTTGTACTGTTACTGTTTGTATGAATAAATCAGAGTACATACAAAAATCAATTAACTTATTTGCTGATTAGATCTCTAATATACAGTAAAGATATATTTTCAAAGTTGTTACTTGAAAGGAAGTATATTGACTACCTTAATACTATGGACTTCCAAAAATACACAAACGTGATACACCCTATTTTCTTTTTGTTGTTTTGTCCACGTATCAACTGTCTAATTTCCTGGATGGAATTTCAACTCAGGCCTTGAATGAACTACTTATAACAACAGAAACATTTTTAGTTAAAAAGGTACAGGTCGATGTCAACCATTACAACATTGTCTTGCCTGATAGACAAAGTCAAGTCAAATCATACGTAGATTGTTTCATTCGTGCTGTTCAATTAAACGTGAAAGGTGTAGAACACTTAAGAGGGCAACAACTGCTATCTTTATGTTCACAATCTAACATTCTAGCTATAGAACCGGGGAAGCAAAAACACCCGGGGCTGAACAAAACTAACACAGCAACGTCTGATCCCGAATAGATGGTTACAAACAGCATCTCAACCTAGATTGGACAGCTGAAAAACACAAATCACCAACCCATCTATCCAGCATGGTGTTTAAAGGCTAAAAACCTTATGACAATGAAGATGTTAGGTGGAATAATAGCAATGTGCTGCAAATTTTAACTTTTTTTGTATACAGTAGATCAGTTGACTGTTTTTAGTTAACTTTGGGTTGCTGATTTCAAATATGCCTTCCATTTTTATCGGCTGCAAGACTTAGGATTTTATAGGGAAACTATAGATGCAATGAATGTGGTATTTGGTACGTTGCTATAAGGTGAAGAGATATACCTTTTAGTAGTAGTGTCATGTTTGTACTACTTCCGGTTATACCGGAAATTGTTACTAACATCAATATTTTTAAGAAAACTTTGAAATTTTATTTAGCAGTTGGTTACATAATGTAATTCTAAATAACTTTTATTTGAAAAACAAAATAAAATAAAATTTTAAAATTTTCTGTAACCGTTTCGGAAGTAGTACAAACATGACACTACCACTAAGATGTAGATCTCCTCGCCTTATATCAAGGTGCCAAATATTAAATGCATTGCATCTATAGTTTCCCTATAAAATCCTATGTCCAGCAGCAGTAAGACACCTGAATAAAAAAAACGTGACGTGTTACAGAAAAATGGAAGGCATATTTGAAATCAGCCACACAAAATTAACTAAAAACACTCAATTCATCAACTGTACAAAAATCTTGCAGCATAGTATAATTGTTTATCTTCGGAATTTTGCGCTGACAATTTATCAGTCTGTCCCATGGTTTCTGGGGAGGACAAACAACTGATAAAGACAATAAAAAGCCCTGCAAAGAGAATACATCGGAACATACAATGCGCGTTCTTTATCGTCAAAGGAAAGAATTACCGAAGTGAAATACGAGCTAGAAAGCATAAAATGGGACATAGTGGACCTAAGCGAAGTCAGAAAACAAGGTGAACAACTGATAAAACTAAAACCTGTACATAGTTTCTACCACACGGTTTATGCCAACAGATCAACTCAACGAGAGTTATTTGTCTGACTCGCAAATTGAAAGCCAAATACCACATTAAAATTATGCACCAGACCACGATGATATTGAAGCTGTTATTAATGATCACCATTCACACTTTACCCTTATAAGTTTCGATTTCAACTCCGAGATGTGAATCAAATCTAACCCCTCAGGAATATCGCTATATCGAACACAATATAGAACGCGGCCGGACACATCTAAGGTTCTTCCTAAAAAACAACTTTTTCTAGATGAATAGTTTGTTCAAAAAGAACTTAAGTAGAAGATGGACATTGCAAATTGTCATTGCAATTGACGACAACAAAAAGAACAAAATAGGTTTTACAATAACTGACAAGAGCCACATAGTTAAGAACGTCACAGTATTAAATAAGTTCGCTACCAATGGCGACCACAGAATTGTACAAGCTAAAATACAGATATATATTTATGAGAAGGGATACAGGATAATAAGAAGAAATTACGAGGGCAGATCATGAAGAAAACTGGTACTCTAAATGAACCGAACATGGAAGATATATTAATGATCTGAATGATAAGGTAACAACTACCTTGATAGAGAGCCAAAACAAATTCTGCCCCAAATCTCGGAAAGAAGAGAAACTTAGAGATAGTATCAAACAAATAAATACAGAAAAGAAGAGAGATGAGGAGTGGAGCACACACTGGAGTGGATGAAATGCGAGCAACAAATAAGCAAATATCCAAGGCCGTTAGACAAGACATTTGAACTTTCAATCAAGAACAAAGAGTACTCTGAATTTTGGATGTACTTCAAGCATGCTGCTTTGACTATAGATATACACAGCTAATGCACAATATATACAAATATGCGACAATGTCAGTGAAACTACATGAAAGCACGAAACTTGCCTAAGTGAGTAGAGGAGTAGGACAAGGTGATGCGTTACCGCCTAAACTACTTACCGCAATACTGCAATATGCATAAAAAATAATCGATTAGAATGAAAGAGGTAACCCAGATTCTAGTGAAAACACTAACATTGCAGATAATGAGGTGGAACACGAAGAAAAGTACAAATATCTTGAGCGCGAATAAAGCTTGGAGAGACAATCAGAAATATGAATTGAAAACAAAAATAAATAAAGTGACTTGCCAATCTGTCTAAAACGTAATAAATTTGACCAATTCGTATTACCAGTTATGACGTACGCTGTTGAAACGTTGACCCTAACCGCAAAAATTTGTAAAAAATTTCGAACTGCATAGAGAAAACGGGAGTGATGACTAAGTAGAATCTTAGAAGAAGAACAGGAGTTACTGATGTGTTTGCAGAAGCGAAATGATATTTCGCAGGGCACTTGGCCCGTTTGAAGAATGAAAGATGGACAAAGAGACTGCTGGAGTGCACCCACACGCTGGACTGATGATATCAAAAGTATAACGACAAATTGGATACAGAGCGCTTAGGATAGAAAGAATTGGACAAAAAGAAGAGAAGCCTATGTTCAGCAGTGGACGTTAAGCGCTGAAGAATGATGATCGATGATGATTTCAAACTTCGTATTCATTGAAAGTTTGAAGTTTTAAGTGTTGAAAAGTCATTATAAAAATCATTATATAAACCCCAGGATTGCCTTAATAGCGGTTAGAAATATTTTTTCAGCTGTACTTGGAAATCAAAGGTAGATTAATTGTAAGCAATTTGTAATTCAATTGCAAATGCAATTTAATCGCGATTGATCCAATAAGATAACAACTTGGCTACTTAACTTTATGATATTAATTATAAATCGTTTCCCTAATAAATATTGGATGAATATTAACGAACAAGTTCGTCCGTGCAATAAGTTTTGCGTTGTAGTTACGTACATTTTTAGTTCAACCTTCAGTTTAAAAGTATTATATCTTTAATATTATATCGTAAAATCCAATTACACGGATATCGAGTGAAAAACCGGACTCCCTTTTTGTCGAATTACGTGTAGTGCTCCGTTTCAGGATTTTCCTCGATACCCTTCCATCGTGACTTCGTATAATAAAGAACGCCGGCAAGTCCACACGAATTGGCAGCTTCTGGAGGCTTAACCGTGAGGAAGAGTGTTAACCTCGCTCCTTTCGAATGAGGGGGAAAAGGGAAGACGACTGCATAAATTTTAAACAGCACCACCGTTTGGTTATTTTCCAGTCACTTCGACCGGCATAAATTGGCCACTATTTGCGAATAAATTTACATATATACGTATTGGAGGACGACTACACCCGAAAGAACCGAAGGACGAGTTCACTTTTGACATGATACAAATTTTCGGTGGACATGACCCAAATTTCCGACGATATTCGAATTCGTTCTGTTTGTTTCGGTTTTTTTGTGGAGTACAATTAAAGTATCAAAAAGTCCGAATTCTATCAACTCTTGTCATGTTGTGTGCTGCAATTGATACACTAAAAAAGTCGATGACATCAATTGAAAAAAAAAAAATAAAATAAAAAATGATCAATTCATTTTTCTTTATTTCTTGTAGTAAATATATAATAACAAATTATACAAAATAATTGTTAATTAAATAACATCCCATTAATAAATCGTATAATTTAAGCTTTGAAACTTCTTTAAAAATAATTAAGTTTTTCGACTTGAATTTTCAGTAAAATTGTGAAAACGATAAAAACATTTATCTTTTCGTGGAACCGTATTCGTTATTTTGTTATTTAGTGTATAAATTAATCCTAAACAATTAGTTAGGTTCTTCTTATATTGATGCTTTTGATTTTGGGTCTTAAATAATGTTTTATTAGGATATTTATCATACTTCTTAACAATTTCTAATTTCTCGCGTAAATTTAATATTTCTTGCGTTAACGAAAATTCTTCATCTTTTACCGATTTAGTCACATTCGAGGATTCAATATTTTGTGAATTTTCTTTCTTATTAACCTTTTTACTTTTCCGTTTATTTTTCTCGTATTGCACTGTTGAAGTAAGCACTTTATGCAACTCCGAAAGATTTTCGTGTACACGTAACAAGCCTGTTTCATATTCTAGCTTATCAACTTCTCCGTTTTCTGTGAGTTTATTATTAACAGATTTATCGCCGTTTGGTTCTTCATCTACATTTTTTGTGGTGTTAAGATTAGCTTTGTTACTTAATTTTAACACCATTTCCTAAAAACCGAAAACAATAATTTTGACCGCGTTTATACCGATAATATTGCGAAAACCAAAAACAATAATTTTGACCGCGTTTATACCGATAATATTGCGAAACGTAACCAAAATTTATAAAACGTCAAGTTAAAATTGTTTTGTCAATTTATACATTATTTTGACAATTTATTCTTTTCATTCAAACTTATTTCCTCAAGATTATTCATCTAAAATCAGTCCCTTATCAGTCTTTTAGCACGTTCAG